CTTTGTAACAATTCTTTTTCATTAAAAGCTAGAAGCATGATCTTTTTCGAAGTGATTAATAATATGACTGATATGTTGTTCATTCTATGGAACAATTATAAATTGATTTAAAAATTCAAATTTGGTATTAATCATGTACACTAGACTTTCTAATATTAGGATTTATGTTATATAGAATATATGTTTATTACGAAATATGTTCTACATTTGGACTGATTGTTTCACATTGCAGGTGATTCTGGATATGCATTAAGGCCATGGTTATTGACACCTGTTATAAATGCTATACAAAACTCATTCGAAGATCGATATAATGTTGCAGACGAATTCGAACCTTAATAGAAAGGACGAACGGTTTATTGAAGATGCGTTTTCGATGCTTGTTAAAACATAGAGTCTTGCATTACAAACCAGACGTAGTATCGCGTTTAGTTAATGCTTGTGTAGTATTGCACAATATGTGCATTGAAGACAAAGTACCAATGCCGCCTTGAGAGGAAATAGATTACAATATTGACTTAGAAATAAATGTTAATAATAATATTAATGATAATGTAGAACCAAACCGGATTAATCCAGAGCTTGTCGCAAGAAGAAGGCTTCAGAGGCTATTAAACGGAACAGAAAAGTCAAATACCATTTTGCGAAACTCGCAATAGTTTTCGAGTAATTAATTATTTTGTCTGAGCAAATAAGCGCTCGGGTCGGTGCGCAACATTGATATACACGAATTGCGGCTTTCCAATCACAGCTACGTTAGATACCATCGTATCTCCTAGCCATAGTTACCATAGTTACCATAGTTACGAGACACAGAGTGTCACAGAGTATATATATGTATGTGCATGATTAAAAGTTAATATTAAAAATGTAATAATTGAAATTATAAATTCAATATTAATTTTTGTCCCATATTTCGCATATTTTACTGAATGTAAATTTACAGGTACAGTTTATATAGTTCGCGAAAAAACCAAAAAGAATTAATTAAAATAATATTTTAAATGCAAAATCTCTGCCCTCCCCCTCACCATATAGTCCTTTATTACAATGTATAATATTAATCGGAAAGCTAATTAATTTAATTGCGATTTATTTCTTAATTAAAGTGAACAAACGAATTTAAAGCAACACTGTCGCGCATCGTCGTGACAAGGCAAGAGTATATACTTGATATTTCCAAGGAAAAAAATGGTGCAGTAAATTCTGCAAATCTATAGCTTGCTAGGCAAAATTAAACATAAGTAAGCAGACTTGCTAGTGCAGCAAATATATTAAATTTAGAAGCAATTGCCAATTTGCTTATAGAATAAACTCATTTTTGTTTATATTATTAATTACTACAACAAATTTATTATTATTTACTGCAACAGTAACAATAGTTACAATTATTGCATAGTTACATACTTGCAATAATTTACAGTAATAGTTATTGCAACAAATCATTTCGTATTTCAAGCTAATTGAAGTTTGCGAAGTAAATTCACTATTCACTAATTTTACGACACAAATTATGCACTTATTCGATAAATAAATAAAAAATATTTTTATTCGTTTTATGAAAAGGAATACGTTTCCATCTAAATACAAATGTTCGTAATAAGAAACATGTCATTATGTATTATGCAATTTAAGTTTCTCTTTTTATATTGATAATTAAATGTATTTATTAAATGTAATGTATTGATATAAATTATATATTTCTTTATATGAATGTATTATACTTATGATATTTTATTATATTATTTGAATAGAGAAGGGGAGTTGCAGGGAATAAATTCATTTCAATGACCATTTTTGCTTTCGTTAACTTCTATTTGCTAAAGCAGCTGATGAGTTAGCTATACTGAAATCCATCAATATACCAAATTTCTTTTAATATAACAAAAAACAATATTAGTTGCTTATACCGAACCATATTTTTCATTAGTTGTGATATAGAATTATTTTTGTTGTGTTAACAAATCTGCCATGCAACATCAAACTTTATTAGATACAATAACAAATTTTATATAGATTTGTGATTTGGTTATTTGTAACATAGCAGACTAGTTGTTCGTATATTACGACTATATTTGCTAGGCTAGCAAGGTTTTCATTTGTGACAGCAAATTTCTTTTCCCGCATCGCATTTCGTGCCCGCACGATATGAAAACCAATCGGTATAATTACGTCCAAAGCGCGAGCGTGCTTACTTGCGCTGGATCATTCGCGTTTCGAGTCAGGAGTTTACAAGCGAGCCAGTAATTATGAGATGAAAGCATTCTCGATCCGTCCCAGAATAACCTCTTCTCCGATTGAGAACCCTAAAGGGCTCCACTTCTCGTCGTCTTCTCCCGTCCAATTACTCATCGCACGAAAATGTTGCGGGCTTACGGCTTCGATCAATTAATTTTGCCGACTTTTCACAGCGCCGGCAAACATTTTCCCCGCTACTTTACGCTGCTACAATATCGCGGCGATATTCGTACTATGACGGTCTTTGCGGTGTGCAAGCGTGTGAGTGTGTAGGTGTGTGCAGACGTAAATAAGGCGGTGCCGGCGGATAGAGGAAGAAGATAAGGTCGGTGTAATTTGATTACGTATCTTGCGCTGAAAGTATATAAAGTAATTCGAGAGCTATGTTGCAGGGACTAATGTCCATTTAAAGGGGAAACGATATCTAAATGGTATACAAAAGATGGTGTAAGTGAGCGTAATCCTTTTTCATTTATTTCCTAAACGCGAAGATTTATATATTTAATTAAGGCCGACGTAAAAAAAAAGCGATTTGTTTAATCAAGCGTTATTTCTTTTTTAAGAAATTCTCTCGCTGGTTTTTCGAATAATAATAGTCGATCTTTGTGCAATATTTTGAATTATTGTTTTTATTCTTTAAGAAAGAGACAAGAGGAAGGGAGGAGGGATGATAAAGAAGAAAGAAAGAGGAGGGAGAAATCTTAATGAGAAAGAAGCAGTATAATTTTCAACGCAACAGGAAGTTTCCGAATTCTTTCTCCGCTTTACTTTTTCTTAAATTTCACAAGTCTTTATTATTGTGTGTTTAAGGGGATATTCTGATTTACATAACCAAAAAAAATAGATTTTTACGAATTTTTTCAGAGAAATAAATAAAAATGTTAATATATATAATATGTGTGTGTATATATATTTATATATATTAATATTATTAATTATTATATTATTATATATATTAATATTTATATATATTAATATTATTTTATTCACTTCTCTGAAAAAATTCGTAAAAACCTTCTATTTTTTCGTCTATATAAATCAGAATATTATGTAAATCAGAATATCCTCTAAAATCTTATATATATATATATATATATATATATATATATGTATATATATATATATATATATATATATATCCTATATTTGACAATAATAAATAGGATTTTATCATTATGTAACTTTTTTTATACTGAACGTCGCCGGACGCCTCTAAATGATATTACAAATTTAATGTTGTTAAATTTGTTGGAGAATTAACCTTTGTTATATACAAAAAGTCGAAATTTAACAAAAATATTTTAATGTTACAAATTATTCGTTCTCTCTGCCTTTTTTTTTATTTAGTGTCCTGGGAAAAATAGTAATTTTAGACATTTTCCGAAGAATTTGGGTTTATATGTATATTCTGCAGGAAATTTAATATGATTTCTAAATTTCCTGTTTCCATTTATTTTAAATTATTATACAAGTAATATTATCCAGTAGTTCGAAGCGTCCAATAATAGCGCGTTTAGCACAAAAAATCTGAACGGTATTTTAATTTTTCTTTTAAATAATTTTTAAATAGCTTTTTTATATACAATGTATAGATAAATAGTAAGATAAGTAGATAAATAGATAAATAGTATGATAAATAGTAGAATAAAAAATCTATATTGCTATGTATTTTTATTCTTATATCTCTTTGAAAAAAAATTCGTAAAAATCTCCTATTTTTCGACTATTTAAACCAGAATTTTCTTTCAATATTAAAAATTTGACTGATAAATCATTGTCGACCTATCTTTATGCATCTATTTGTTGTACAATTATGATGTGCTAAAGAAGGTTAATTTAAAAGAATATCAATCGTGTCAATAAACTGTACGTAGATCGCTGTTGATGATAATAGCAGGAAAAATGGATACTGTCGAGTCGGACGCGGCAATCCGTAGTACCGGTGTTGATAGAGACGTCTGTAAGTGACACGGAAGCTTATACACGCTAATAGCGCCATTCCGTGCCCTATGCTAGGTAGGTACTTTTTTCAGATATTCTCCCTTTTCGGCGCCACGGTCTTCTACCTTTTCACAACGAGAGTTTGAGAGTCGAGAAGGTCGCTATAAGCCGTTTTGTTCACGGCGAGGGACATCAATATCGCTCCGCTCCGCGCCGCGCCAAGTATTCAGAACGCCCTTCAAGAATTTTAATGCGACGGAGAAAGAATTTATTGCGACATAGAATGCGCAGTAATGGCGGAAATACGTATAAAAGTCGGGAAAAGGGTGCGCATTGTCGCCGTCTAATGGCCTGCCTCGGGCGTCGCATAGTGGCGACGTGTACACGCACCACCCACACGAGGACCGTCTTTCCGTTCTGGAGGGCTCAGCCCT